TGCAGAAGGATTTCAGGTCTAGAAATTTAAGTATGACTGAAAATATTCTAGATGACTCCAAAGCACTTTCCGAACAAGGAAACTTTTTTTTTATAAGATTTATTTATTTATTTTGAAGGCAGAGTTACAGAGTTAGAGACAGAGACAGAGAGATCTTCCATCCGCTGGTTCACTCCCCAAATGGTCACAACATTTGGGGCTGGGCCGATCCAAATCCAGGAAGCAGGAGCTTCCTCCGGGTCTCCCACATAGGCGCAGGGACCCAAGAACTTGGTCCATCTTCCACTGCTTTCCCAGGCACATCAGCGGAGAGCTGGATCGGAAGTGGAACAGCCAGGACTCAAACTAGCACTCTGTTACAGGATACCAGCGTCAGCAGTGGGGGTTTAACCTGCTGTAACACAACTCCAGCTCCACCAATCTGATAATATGACATTCCTTGATTCTCAATGAACAATTATATGGGATCACCCTGAGTTTACAGATTCCGAGAGGTTAAATAACACCCTTAAAAGTTCAGGGCTTTTGATTTCATAATTTGTGTTTTATTCTGTCTCCTAATGCTTCCCTGTTGGCCTCCTGAATTCAGACATTAACTGGTAGGAATGTGAGTCTTTCTGGAGACCAGTGGGGCACACCCAGTGCCCTTGAGTGAGCCCGCAGGGAAAGATCGGATGACATTGGGTCACTCAGGACCTGGGTGTTGTTTAACCACAGCAGCAATTTATCCTGAAATGGAAAACGTATTACGTCATGGTTAACTTTAAGGGTCAAGGGGACTGGAGTACCAGGGGCTTCACATTATCCTGTGAGTGTTGGTGAGGGTGTTCCTGGGTGAACCAGTAGAGGTGGGTGGACCTCACCTTGTCTGTTCAAGGTCTGATGCTTTGTTTTGTTCCCACAAGCAAGAACCTAAGGCAACTAACTAGAAAGAGAAAAGGCTTGTTTAGCTCACGGTTGTGCAGGTGCAAGTTTAAGGTTGGTGGCCCTGTTGCTTTGGCCTCTAAGGAGGGCAGTGGATGGCAATGGGAGAAGATATGTGGATGAAAGGTCACATGGAAAGTCAGGAAGCAGAGGGAGAGGCTGACCCAAATGCAGGCTTTTATAACAACCCCTGGTGAGACCCACCTTCTGCGGTCATCCTCCCAATGACCTCAGGGCCTCCCACTAGACCCGCCTCGAACCACCGGACCTGCATTAAGTACCATTAGCTTCACAACTTTGGGGTTTAAAGTCCGGCATTAGGATGCCACTTGGAGTGCCACATCCCTTGTCAGAGTGCCCAGCTCTGCTCCTGATTCTAGCTTCTTCCTAATACACACTTTGGGAGGCAGCGATGATGGTTTGAGTAGTTGGGTCACTGTAACCAGTGTGGGGGACCCAGATTGATTTTTCTGGCTTCTGGCTTCAGCTTGGCCCAGTCCTAGCTGTTGTGGGCCTTTGGGAAATGAAGCAGTAGATGGGAGATCTCTCTTCTCTCTGTCTCTCTCTCTCTGTTTCTTTCTCAACTGAATAAGTTAAAACAATAACAACTGAAGTCCTGCATTGGTTTGGGGGGGGTCAGAAAATCTGAATATCTGGTTTCAGGAATCAGGGGGTGGCAGTGGAAGAGGCTCTTTCATCACTACACCTAACAACACACTGATAGAACGTTTGTTTCCTAGCAACGTCAAGTTCTGCTGGTCTGGGGGACTTAGTCCCAGTAGGAGACTGCTTCCACCAGTGATCTCAACAATGGTCCTGTTAATTGGAAGCTGAGTCTGCCACCTGCCCACTTGGAGTTCTGTACACCCCTGAACCAAGACCTAAATCCATAACTAAGTTTGCTGGCTGGTGTGATCGATCCTGGAGACCAGGGGATTCTCTGGAGGTGAAACCAAGCCGCTCTTACTGAGCCTTGAACACACTTGCTAGAGCCCATCCGATCCTAGTCTCTCACGGCCCCCCAGCCTCCCCGCATTACCTTGAAGTGTCCTTGCCCTGCCTTTTGATGGCCAATCAAGCACTTACTAAAATTAACTCACTGTATTGAGGGAGCAGTGCAGCTGGCCTTACAAGGTTCTAATCATGGGACTCGTGAGGTCACTTGTTTCTCCAACAGATAACATCTCCATGTTCAGTCTTGTCTCCAGGGGTTTCTTTTCCAGGAACTCCAGGCCTGGAACAAAAAGCAACTACCACCTGCATGTAGCCCCCAAATGACTGAAGCCCTCTTTGCTATTATCAAAATTTCCTAAAGGACACGATTCAGCCAACCAGTTGAAGGAGGGTCACCAATACTGCAGAACACCCAGTATTCTGGACACAAACTGAATGTGCACCTCTCAGTCCCAACCTCAATCTATAAGAACCTTCATCCCTAATCCCTTGGGGAATATTTTAAAGATACTTAATGATGGAAGACAGTTTTGTTCTACTACATCCTCTTGAGTAGAATGAAACATGTATTTAAAATTTATTCTCAGATCAGAGCCAGCATTGTGGTGCTGGTTAAAATACTGCCTGGGATACCAGCATCCTATACTGGTGCACTGGTTCGAGTCCTGGCTGCTCAATTTGCAATCTATTTCCCTGATAATGTGCCTGGGACGGCAGTGGATGATGGCCCCTGCTACCCACAGGGGAGACTTGCATGGAGTTCTTGGCTCCTGGCTCCAGCCTGGTCCAGCCCCAGCCATTGCAGCCTATGGGGAGTGAACCAGTGCATGGAAGTTCTTTTTGTGTTTCTTCTTTTCTATCTTTGTCATTTTATATTTTTCAGGGTCAGTGTTATGGTGTGGTGGGTAAAGCCACCACCTTCAATGCTGGCATCCCATATGGGTGCTGGTTCATGTCCATATCATTAATCAGATGCTGGCTTCACAGGTTGCAGTTTAACCTGCTGGGCCACAACACTGGCCTCCCAGTATCTTAACCACCAAGCCAAACTCCTGCCCCACTTAAAAAAGGAATGCATCCTTCTTTGATATAATTATTTCTTTCCCCCTAAGTTAATATAATTAATTTTGTTAGATTTCCTGATACTGACACATTCTTTCATTCCCAGTTAATTCTTCATGTTCATAATTTACTATTTTATCAACTCACTATAAGGTTCTATTTGCTAATATTTTATTTGCACTTTTGTACATATATTCATAAATTGAGTTATAAGTTTTATTTTGAGATTTTTATTAAAAGACACTTTAAATTATTCTCAAAGTATTCATATGTCTGGAGAAAACTAATATTATTAATAATGCGCTGAGTATCATAAATGACTTATTTAATAGTAGCAGTTAGATGGCATCCAAAGTATCTCATATGATAATGCCATTTCCCTATATGTAAGTCATTATTCTAGGCCTTATGTAATGCATTAGCATATAGGAGAGAAAATATGTGCTTTTCATTTGTGGAATTGTGAGAAATGGGCACAGTCTTGGGTAAAGTCATGGAAGTATGCAATACTTGTGAAAATGCATAGTGAACAGGTCGTACAGTGCAGTTCCAGGAAACCAGGAATCCAAAAGGAATAAGGAATATTAAAACAATCTAGGGTGGGCGTTTGGCATAGGGGTTAAAACACCACTTGGGATGCCTACATCCCACAACGGAGTACCCAGTTTTGAGTGCCAGTTCTGTTCACACTTACAGCTTCCTGCTAATGTGTACCCTGGCAGGCAGCAGGTGATGGCTCAAGTGTTTGTGTCCCTGCTTCCCATGTGGAAGACCCAGACTGGGTTCCCATCTCTTGGCTTTGGCCCGGCTGGCTCTGATTGTTGCAGGCATTTGGGGAGTGAACCAGCAGATGGGAGCTTGCTCTCTGTCCCTCCCTCCCTCTCTTTCACATAAATGAAATAAAAAAACAATTGGGAAACTGAGCTGATAAAATGCAGGAAGCTGAGCATTTTTAGAGTGAAAGTGTAATGCAATGAGAAGCTGTGGGCTGTGCTAAATCTCAGAAGTGACACACATCTCATCTGAGTCTCAAACAGGGATGTTTAAGTGCAGTACCCAGCTGCAGCAATCTAACCAACACTGATCCCTTTAGTATCTTAACTACTGAGCCATCTTTAGCTTAAATGTTCCCAACTTGACTGAGTTGCTGCTAAGCTCCCTCTACTACTCCCTGAAAAGCTATCTACAACCTATTAGCTTTTATCTTAATATGAATTTGGATGACTTTTTCTTCTAAAAGAAGATAACATCCTTCAGATAAATGGAAGCACTTTGTGATTTGGCAAAGCTGGTGTTAACCACATCTTTAGCTTCTTAAGAAGAAATTATCTGAGGGAGTCTTGGGACTATTTTGCCAACAGCGCTCCCCAGGGGACAACGATACTCATACTTGTCTGTTTTTATATACTATAATTTAAGGGTTCCAGGGTATTAAGGTTGTTCCTAAACCAGCATATCAACAAATCAGCTAATGAGTTATGCTAATAGTACACCTAAAACAGTATATCAACAAAACCAAGTTGTGTGTGTATTTCTGGAGAGATGAATGAGATCCGTGTTTAGAAAGTTTACTCCTTTAGGCAAGAGCTAGAAACATCTTTAAGGAACTGACCCTAATACATTAGTTGTAAATCAATTTATAGTTTACACTGTTCCCATACACAGTATCTCAGTGGATTCCTGCAAAACCCTGGGAATGAAGCAGAGTAGGTATCATTATCTCGGTTGTTTATAAATGTATAAACAAGCTTACTGAAGTCCAGTAACCATCCTGGTCACACAGCTGGTGAGTGCTGGGATACTTTGAAAATTCTGATGTTCATGAAGAGAGATGGAGCTTCCTAACTCACGTAAAAGTAGAGGCTGACACCATGCAGACACGGTGTGAGCTCACTGGACATTTGTTGAATGTATGTTGTGCCTGGCGAGCCCATTCCTGAGTTCCTTCTACTATATATTATACAAGCCCAGACCAGCAGAGGAATTGTGGGAGCTTGGGATGGGATAAGAGGCAGGGATTATTCCCATGAGAAACAGGAAATGCAAGATGGAGGCCGTGGTTTCTGGAAATGTCAGTGTTTATTAAACATTTAAGGACATTTGGAGGTTTTGAGAAGAAATATACAGAATGTAGAAAAATCCTAAGAATCTCCTATGGTGAGGAGCGCAGCCTCTTCCTCCACTCCCTGCCCCGCCCCCATCTCCTGTTTGTGTCTCCGCCTTCTGCTGGAGTGTTTCAAGGCCATCTCTTCAGGTTCATTTTCCCTTCCTCCACCCTCTGACCTAGGAGGGTGCATCCCTCTCTTTCTGTGTCTCTGTCTCTCTCTTTCTTCATGACCTGGAGTCCCAGAACGGTGCTCCCAAGTGGCCAGGGGGTGCCAATCCCATAGCTGAGGTTTGAGAATCAGGGGCCCCTCTGGTTGGGCTGGCTCTAGGTGAAGGGCTTAATGGGGGTGGGGGAATTGCAAAAGCCACATGACGTCATTGGTCCTCAGTCATGGGGGTGAGGGCTGAACGGGCATAGATAAACAAACAAATGAAGAAAAGAATGGATTAAAAAATAAAAAAAAAAACATTATCAACAATCTAAATAACCCCTGAAGGAGAGTATGGTCTGGGTGATGTGGGTGTTAGCAGGAAGAAGAGAGGGTGGAACTGGACCACCTGATGGAGGGGAGGGGACTGGAGAGGAAGGAGTTGGGGGGAGTGCAGCGGATTGGGAGGTCTGGTGGCTTAGAATTGAGGCAGGGTGATCAAGGTCCCTTTCTTCTCGGTGCCGAGGGGCAGACACCAAACACACAGCCCTTGGGGCAGGTGAGGGGTAGGATCAGCCCCTAGGCTCCCAGAAAGCCCGGGGGCGGGGAGGAGGGCGTGACGGTGGGGGAGGAACGAATTCTGGAATGAAACTTACATCTCCAAGGTAGGCGAGGACAGGCCAGGGCTGGGGAGCAAGGGAGGAAAGCACCTAGACGGGTGAGGGGAGGAGCCTAGGTCCCCCTGCTCTGGCAGGGCCTGGGGGTGGAGGTCACTTGTCCGAGTCCAGGCCCATCATGTTCTTGAGGGCGTTCTTGAGGCTGGTTCTGCTGGGGGACTTGACAGCGGGCCGGAGCTCCGAGCCCGGCTCGTCCTTCCGTAGCTCCATCTCGATGACCACCACCTGAGCGCCTTTGGAGGCCTCCGGCCCTGGCCCCCGCCCCCCCGCCCGGCCCGCTAACCGCTATTTCTTATCCTTGCGAGACTCCCCCAGCCCCTTGGACTTCTTCTCACTGGCAGCTTTGGTGCTTCTGCTGTGGTCCAGCATGGCATACAGCACGGGCGTCTGCCGGGGAAGGGCGCGCGCATCAACTCTCGCACTGCTGGGCTACACCCACCCCTCCCCGCTCACCCGCGCCTCCCGGCTCCCGCCATGCTCTCCTCCCCCGCTGGTCCTGGCCCCAGGTCCCGCTCACCTGACGCCCGCGTTTCGAAGAGTCCTTCGCAGCTTTGTGCAATTTCCCCTTCTCCATGGCACTGCAGGAGAACGGGGTGCTGTGGGTTGGGCCTCGCCAGAGCCCCTTGCACCACGGTCCCTGCTTGCTCTTTCCTTTGCACCCCCCCCCCCCCGCCGCCGCCTCCCTCTCTCCCCTAGGAGTTTCTGCTCTCGTGGGAGAAAATGCGCTAGGTGGAGGACGTCAGGCTCCGCCCCTTACCTGAGCCTCCTCTGCAAGGCCGCCTGCCTGCGCAGCCAGCAGTACCGAACCAGGTAGAACAGCAGCAACACCAACAGCACCACCCCGAGGACGCCCCCGATCACGGCTCCCAGCACCACCCCGTACCTAGTTGGCACTAGCAGGGGGGAGGGCAAAGAAGCAGGACAGTGAGTGGAGACCTGTCTCTGTGGTTGCCAGCCCCACACCTATTCCCTGGGGGTGGGCTACCTTCTGCCCACCCTCCCGGAGCCTGGAGGTCATTACGCCATGCGTATTGCCTCTTCCCACGGTCTACCCATCCTCCCTGGTCCCCTCCCAGACACCCTGCCCCCGTGCCCCCTCACACCTTTTTCAAAGACATAGAGCGTGACCTGAGAGGTCTTGCCCACTATGTCGGGTGGGTTTTTGACATCACAAGTGAAAGTGCCGTTGTCACTGTAATCTAGATTGTGAATGACAATGGAGCCATCCTTCCAGCGAGGGTCCCCTACCCACTGGATGCGCTCTTTGAAGGTCCCCACCTCGTCGATGTAGGGCTGTCCCTTGGCATAGTGGAAGATCTGTGTGAGAGGACCCAAGTGAGAACAGAGCAGTCAAAGCTTAGCTCCAGCCTCAGGGTGGGGAGCCCCAGGCAGGAGAGGGGGGTACTTGAGGAGGAACGACAGCGCACACAGGCCCCCATCAGGATGACAAAGACTGCCGCCTACCTCACCAAAGTTAGGGTTATGGCTCATAGAGGATGTCCTCCTCTTTAGCCCAATTTCTCATTTCTGTTTTTGAAGCACGCTTTGAGTTAGCTGACCCCAGGATTGTCCCCAGGCACTCACCGAAATGGCATCTCGGCCCCCTTCGGGCTGGTAGCGCCAGGTGAAGGAGATGTCATCTGAGACCCACTCACTGGACCAGAAGGAGCAGTGCAGGGTCACCCGGGAGCCCACAGCACCATGGACCTCCCTGTCCGTGTAAACCACAATGGCCTGCGCTGGGGATAGCACTGCAAGCACAGAGGGGGAACCAGATGCAGCTGCGGCTCTCCTCCCCCCATGAGGCATCTAGAGAAGGGGAGAGCGCTAGGCAGCCAACGCTCAGCAGCCACGGCAAAGACAGAAACAACACGTGCTGGGGCCCCAGTCCCCTGGCCTAACTGAGTCCAGGCCTGTACATGCTACGTCTGTTAAAACTCTTCATCATGTCTGCAGCAGAGACAGAATGTTCTGGAAAACTTCCGGAAGTTGGGTTGTCTCCAAGTCTCACTTTCGCTTTGGGTTAGAATGTAGGAATTTAAATGTTTTAAAATTTTTATAAATTATACAGGTCATAGATATCACATTCTTCCTATCAACTATTGTAATGCTAGAGATAAAACTAACATCTCCCTTGATACCCTCCCTATCCAGGTCCTTTCCTGTAGTCCCCACCCAGATATAACCACTGTTACCACTCTAATGGGTGTGCTTTTCCTTCTATCAACTCAATAAACTCAAAATACATGTGTATTTATAACAAATAATTTTGTTTTGCTTTCCTTTTTTACACATATTATATATATATTCATGTATATAAATATATATTTATATTTTACACATATTATATATACACATATATATTTTAAGTTAAGAATATATGTGTATATATATGTCTGTATGTGTATAGCTGAAGGAGCCTTCTATGGTGATTCATAAGCATCAGTCTTATTTTTAACAGCTGCATAGTATTTCACAGTATAATGAATTCAAATTCTTGCAGAAAAAAAAACCATGAAAATAACTAGACAATGGCAAACTGCTTCCCTAGTGTAACCATTCTCCCAGCTTGCTCTTGACTAAGGAAGTCCCACATCCCTCTCAGGGGATGCTGAATACAGAGCACGACCTTAAGGCCAATTCTCACATGACTGCATGTGAGCCTCTGTAGATTGACTGTCCTCACCCTCCTCTTGGCCATTCTGGCCCAGTGCCACCTCCAAGACTCACCCACGCAAGCCAGGCCATTCCTGGGAGACTATGTATGTGGGCTGGCCCTTGGTGGGGGCAACTGTAGTCCCTTTTGTTCTACAGGAGGGGGAGGAGGCAACCAAGCAAACAAAGTCTCATTGTCTGGCCAATGTTGGGGACTCATGCCACCCCTACCCTTGCCCCCATAGTCCTGTCTTCCATCTCAGCATGCAGTGTCATCACTCACCTCCTGGGACTTCCACCTTGGAAGCTTCTTGGGAATCCCCAGTGTTACAAGGGAAGTTGCTCATTGTTTCTAACGTCTACTCCTCCTGCTCTATGAGTCATTCCCCTCTCAGTTCTGCGCAGTGGCTTGGGACAGAACTCTCCCTCTCCATACTTCAAGATTCCTTCCTGCTCCCGTTTCCCTCATATGCCCTTTTCCAACTTCCTATCCTTAACATTTTCTCCTGGTACTTCAGAATAGTCCAGTACAGCCCGGAAGAGTCTAGGTTTGGGGCTTAGGATGCAAGGCGCTGACAGCAGAGAATCCTGGACAGTCTGATCTCCCCACCCCATTGCAGCTTGCCTGATATTCACCCACGGCACTAAGATTCAGGCCAGTTCAGAAAAGGGAAGGAGCCACTGAAGGATCCAAGCCTCCTTTGACTTTGTCTGGATCACCCAACATCTGTCAGGGGGCAAGGAAGGGGCTGATCAACTTATGAAGGGTGTTAGCTTTAATGCTGTGAGATCCTAGAGTCTCATAAACCTCCCCTTCCATTCCATTCACCCACAAGATAGACAAGGAGCCACAGAGAGAAACTGAGGCACAAAAAACAAAGGATCAGAGCAGCTGAGACCACAAACCTTGGGCTCCCTCCTCAGCTCATTGCTTTTTCTCTTTTGGGAAACTAAGCCTGAACTCCTAGGGGCCAAATGGAGACCAGACCTGATGTTCAATCCTGTTCTGTCCCACGCTCTAACACTGCTTCCTACCAGGCTCTTGGCATGGCTTTGGGGACACACGTTTCTAAGCTGGGTGGGTCCATCCATGTCCATTCAAGGAAGTTGTCTACACCCTCCTTTACCATTTGCCTTCATAGAATAACTTTACTGCCTTCCTCCAAATAACATCCCTCCCCCATCCCCCTGCCTGAGAATAATATCTTCCTGCTCCTGCTCTCTCTTTTTCAATTGCAGTGCGGAATGCCACAAAGTGGGAGGCTGTTGAGAAACAACCTGAATCCCAGGGTTCCCAGACTGGGGCGGCTCCACTTACCCACAGAAGAGAAGAGCAGTACAGCCAGGACAGGGCTGGGGCTGGATGAGGGAGCCCCAGCAGCCATAGCTGGGGCAGGGGCTAGGGCCCAGCACAGCTGCGGGGTGGGGAGAGTGGGGGACCAGGAACTGAGCGGGGGTTTCTGGAACCCGCTTAAAATCCCCCGGGGCCCCAGTATGAGGGGGCTGTCCTGAGCCAGTAACCAATGGCAGCCTGGCATGTGCAGTTGAGAGGTGGTGGGGAGGGGGGAAGAGTGCAGGAAGCAGAAGGGGCATTGTATACTCTTGGTGGAGGGGTGGGGGACACATACCACCCCATACACAGAGGGCTTTGTGTCTACTGGCCTCCCCCTACCCCATGCTGGAATGTTGGGGGGGTGGTGAGGGAGAAGGACAGAAAAAGGGACACAGACACACTTCTCTGAGAGATAGATGGGCAGGGAACCTGAAGCCAAAAGCCATGAAAACGGATTCTTTCTTGGTCTCCTTGCCTAAGAGTGCCTTCCCCAGAGACCTAGGAGCCTGAGGTGGGTTTCCCCCAGAGAACTCTGAAAATAGGCTCTCCTATGTTAACTTGGCTACCATGAACTACGTTACAGATTCTTTTTTTTTTTTTAAGTCTTTATTTATTTATTTGAAAGGTAGAGAGACAAAGACCTTCCAACTGCTGGTTCACTCCCCCAAATGCCTGCAACGGTTGGGTTGGGCCAGGCTGAAGGTGGGAAAGGAGAACTCAACACAGGGCTCACACATGGGTGTCAGGGACCCAACTGCTTGGGCCGTCACTTGCTGCTTCCCAGGTGATTCTTTCAGCTCAAAGTTTTTCTCCACTGGAACACCCCGGGCAGAAAGCCCTTGACTTTCCCCCATCAAGAAGTCCTTCAGTGTCTCATGCTGCAGTTTAAGACCATTTCAATTCAGAGCAAGGCAACAGCTAAAGGGAGAGAATGGGAATGCAGGTAACAGGAAGAAGAGGAAGAATCAAGTGCCCCTTCCAAGTTCAAAATCTCATTTGGGGAATTAGAGGAGGATCAGAAGACAACCCCATCAGTAATCAACCATAACAAACCATGACATGTGCTTTAGTAATAAGTGAAATGTACAGGATACAAAGAAAGGAACATACTGTTCAGTATCAGGAAGATTGAGTAAAAGTATGTGAGAGATAAAAGTAAAAATAGGGGCTGCTGTTGGGATGCCAGATACCATATTGGGGTGCTGGGTTTGAGACAGGGATATCTGCATTTCCTACCCAGCTTCCTGTGAATGCATCTGACAGATAGCAGATGATGACCAAAGTACACAGGGTCCCGCCATCCACATGGGAGAGACCCAGATGGAGTTCCTGGCTCCTGGCTTTGGCCTGGCCCAGCCCTCGCTGTTGTGGGCATTTGGGGAGGGAACAGAGAATGGAAGATCTCTCGATCTCTCTCTCTCTCTCAAATAAACAAACAAAACTTGAAAATAAATCTTATTTAATAAAAGAAGTTCAGAGGAAGATGTCGTCTTGTCTAGGGGGCAATGTTAGAAACCGACCAACCTGGAAGGATGAGTGCCATTTTGAAAAAGAGAGATGGGTAGGGAGGGTAACCAGACAACAGCAAAAGCAAGAACAAAGGGATGAGGTATAAACATGTGCCATTCACTGTGATTTGGTGATCTGGGGGAATCCTATGGACAGGAAAGTTGAGGCCAGTTTGTGAAAGTCCTTAAATAAGGCTGGCGCCGCGGCTCACTAGGCTAGGCTCACTAGGCTAATCCTCCACGTTGCGGTGCCAGCACACCGGGTTCTAGTCCCGGTCGGGGCGCCAGATTCTGTCTTGGTTGCCCCTCTTCCAGGCCAGCTCTCTGCTATGGCCCGGGAGTGCAGTGGAGGATAGCCCAAGTGCTTGGGCCCTGCACCTGCATGGGAGACCAGGAGAAGCACCTGGCTCCTGCCATCGGATCAGCATGGTGCGCCGGCCACAGCATGCCGGCAGCAGCGGCCATTGGAGGGTGAACCAACGGCAAAGGAAGACCTTTTTCTCTGTCTCTCTCTCTCACTGTCCACTCTGCCTGTCAAACATAAAAATAAATAAATAAATAAATAAAGTCCTTAAATGATACACTGGGAGGGGGAACTTAATTTGATACATCATCTAAGTTTCTTGAAGGTTTTAGGGTGAATTTATGGATGCAAATGTTTCCATGACCAGAGTCAAGCTTTAAGACACATCTGGCCAGAAAAGTATTTTAGACAGAGCCCTCCTGACTGTGAATCTCCTTCGTCTCCACCTTTGCAGATTTGCCGTTTCGCCGAACCTCCTATCCCTCTCAATTGGAATTCCTTTCAATTCATCCTTCTCCGTCCTTTCTCTCACCACAAGCCTTGGCTAGAGACTGCTCTTCCTCCTCCTTTCTTTTAAGATAAGTTCTGATGATATGGATTTTGACTTAATGGATGTTGGGTCTGAATTTCAACGTGATCTGTTTCCTGTGCAGGTTAATCTGAGTGGAGAGGTCACTGCTCCACCTGTGAGACTACAGCTGGCTCATCCACGGAAAGCCACAGTCACCTGGCACCTTCTTGGCATCCCAGACCACAGATCTGATAGGTCCAGTGATTAGTATTAGATTTAGGTTATAGAGCTCTAAATATTAGGTTTGATCATAAATTCCACAGGCAAAGTCAACATCCCAGCTCCTCAGTTGTAACTAACCACTTTCTCCTTTTTTGGCTACTCTCTTTATGGAGTTGCTATTTTCTTTGTTTGGTTCTTTTTTAAAAATACATTTTACTTATTTATTTGAGTGGTAGGATTACAGAGAGAGAGAGATCGTCCATCCTTTGGTTCATTCCCCAAATGGCCGCAACTGCTGGAGCTGAGCCATTCAGAAGCCAGGAGCCAGGAGCTTCTTCTGGGTCTCTTACATGGATTCAAGGCCCCAAGCACTTGGGCCATCTTCTACTGCTTTCCCAGGCAATAAGCAGAGAGCTGGATTGGAAGAGGAGCAGCTGGGACACCAACCTGTGCCCATACGGGGTGCCGGGACCATAGGCAGAGCTTAGCCTGCTTCGCCGCAGTGCCCACCCCTGTTGTGGTTCTTTGTTGACTGATCCCGCTAGGGCTACAGCCTTCTGGAAGACAATATACATGGCTGCATCTCTGAAGCCCTTACAGCACCTTTCACAGACTCTGGCAAAAAGCTAGTGGTACACATATGTTAGGTGAAATTATTTAATGAGCTAAGTGAAAGAGGCATTCATTGGATACTAATGTAAAGTTCCAAAGGTCCAAAGGAGGATGGGTGTCTGGAAGTCCAATATCAGAAAACTGTTTTTTAAGATAACAGCTTTCTAGCGATTAAGCTGTTCAGTAAATGAAACTTGTTTTGGGGGTACAGATCACAGAATGTGTTGAAGCAGAGTCTCAAAGATCAGCAGGCGTTCATACCACAGAGAAAATCCCTGCACTGGATAAAAACTTGTCCTTGAAGCCTCTAAGGTCTTTTCCCATTTCAGAATCTACGAAAGTGCTTGCTTTGTCAAGCATTACAGAAATGCAAAATAGCATTCATTCGATACAGAAATAAGTGAGCTTGTGCTATTTAAACCCGACAGCAAAAATGCAAGAGTACTAAATATAAATAGACTCTGAATGTTAATACAGCTGAATAAGTTTTATTATAGACTAGGAATTGCTAGTCTATTGGGGGCTAGCCCCTTCACCCTTCCCCACCCTACGCCCCTCAAAGGGCTAAGAACTTTTGCACTCTGTTTTGCTTTCTAACGAGCTCTCAACTGATTCCTGCGCCTGTGTGGCTCAGAACTGTTTATATACAATGTATAAATCAAAGTGGGTTCTCCCCCTCACCCCGGGATCTTCGGGCTGTGGGTGTCGCCTACACAGCCCTGAACCAAGGAACAAGGGAGCAGCTGTCTTTGGCTAGTGGGCGTGAACTCACGCGGTAGCTCTAGCCCAGGAATTCTGCGGCCCCATGAGGCGGCTCTCGTCCCTGGGGATGAGGGGAGCTCTGTGGGGTCCTCTCGCGGCCCCTCCTCACACTCAACTTGGGTCTCAACTTGTGTACCACTGCGATTTGGTGTCGGGGAGCCTTCACACCAGACCCGAACAAAGTCCAAAGTCTCTTTTTCCCCGCGTGTCTCCGCCAGCCAGCCACGACGCTCTCAGGCGGCCGTGGGAGGGAGGAGAGTGACGCCAACACTGCCAAGTCCTCAGTGAAGAATCTGGGCAAATCCGCTGCGCTGCTGTGCGGCGCAAAATGAATACACACACACACACACACAGGTGCAACGAACACGGTCAGGTGCATGCCTGCCAAAAGCCGGGATTTTTCTGGTAGAAGTCAGCAGAGGGAGGCGGGGAAAGAGAAGAAAAAAAAAAAAACCAGCCCGGAGCTGAGCCCTTTTAACGGGCTCCGCGAGGTCACGTGACACGCCTCCTCCCGCTCCGCCGCTGCCCTGTGCAGGCTGGGACGCGCCTGGCGTAACTTCCGTCCACGCCGGAACCCAAGATGGCTGCGCTCTTGCTGAGGTGACTTTAGTATGGGGCTGGGAGTCCGTGCCCGCGGCTCTCGGGAGACCTGAACTGGCCCCTTACGTCTTACCGACTGCTGTTTACCCAGTGCTTGGGCGGGGAAAGGACCTGTGGTTGTGGGGGACACGCGCTCTGGAGTCCCAGGGACCCCCCACTTCCCATCCCCCGCGTCCAATCCGGAGGGCTTTGGGGTCACTCGGTACCGTGGAGTTGCGCGGGTTCTCGCTCCCTTTACTTCTCCCACCTCGAATACGTCTTCCCAAAATTGCACTGGGGGCCGCACCCTGAATTGAGCCCGGAGGCCATCGGTAGCTCTAACTTAATGTCAGCGGATGAGGGCCCGACAGTTTCGAGATCTCATTGAGGGGTTGCGCCTGAAGAGAGAGTTCTTGGTGTCTGCTGCCTTTGCTTCTAACACCTGTGAGCACCCGCGGCTGCTGTCCGGGTTCCTAACGGGCCCCAGCCAGAGGGTGCAGAAGGCCGGAATTCTTCCTGGCCTGGCGGTTAGCAAATGCACCCAGAATACTGCTGGGCTTCCCAGAGTAGCCCAGGGGGCTCATTTTTAGCTCATCTTTTCACTTGGGGGTGGGGGTGGGGAGGGCCCCCGTGTTTCTCTGAAAGACTT